GCTCATTCCCAGTCACCTCTGGCTTCCCACTTAGTATCACACAGGCCTCTCCTTCCCCATTCTGGTCACCTGAGGTGACTCTACAAGTGCATTTAGCACTGGGCAAAGGGCATGGAACAGAGAGGGGAACGCCCCTGCCACGTCTTACCAGTCTACCTCTGTCATGGCCTGCAGCAAACATTTCTTTTCTTTCAAAGACTTGATACAAGTCAAAAGATTTAACACTAGTCAAAGGGAGTAGAGGAGTAGGAAATTAGAAACCCTCAGAAAAAGCCAGACACAATTGTCATGAAAACCTTTCTCCAAAATAGTATAGGTTAAATTTACAATTGCTTTTGGTCTCCACCCCTGCCCCAGGAAACTCAAAGAAGCCTTCAGGCCAAGGATAGAAGATCTGCTCTACATGGAACACAATATTTTAATGTTTAAAAATATGTTTTCTGTGAATAATAAATCCTGGCTAAAACAGCTTTCCCAGCTGGCGTGTAAATTACAATGTTGTGTCGTCGGTGCTAGATATCAGCAGAGTGCTGCTGTCTGCAGTCAACTCACCTAGTTTCGCCAATGTATACTGGCTCAAGAACAGCCTGTCAAGTCGCAGCATGTCCAGCTGCTTTACCAAAGACCAAAACCCAGGGAAAAGGAAAACAGGAATCTGATTAGTACAAAGAGAAATAGGGTTGAGAGTGAGCATCAGGTCAGCACTGCATCCAGCCTGAGACCCCACATGCATGATTGGCAGGTGGAAACTTTTGAAAGTCTGCAAGGTTCTTTAAGCCATATCCAAGGAATCAACAGAAATCACTTTTCAGATCTCAGCCACGGTGATGCTGGGGAAACATCCCATTATATTCAGGGTCAAATAGGTCAGTGTGTTGTGGTTGTCCCCTCCTCGTACTGAAATCAGTTAAAATAGAAATCACTTGGAAATTAACACATGAGCAACGAGAGGACAACTTCATTCCAGCCAGAAGGAAGGAAGGAACTTCTTGAATAGTATCTGTTGGCTAGGAATAATGATATTGAGTGACTTTACTCTCTTGTCATCTGATCTTATGAAAGAATCTTTCCAGAAGGTAATTCAAGTCTTTTATTCTGATGTACACCTTCCTCTAGAATTACCACTGTTTATCACTTTTTTCAGACATTATAACCTTTGTTTGAGGGATATTTTAGAGCACTCAGGTAAATAGTTATGGAAAAACATTGGCTGGGTCTTCCTTATGCAACAGTCCAGGTTGAATCCAGTTATATCCTATGGTCTTCCTCAGTGCCCCAGGAGATTTCAGACCATTATTGTGTTACTTGCTCTGAAGCTGAGTGTACTGTAAGGACAGTCTGGAGATATTCTAAATCCACAGTGCATTACATCTAATCTATTAAATCTTTCTTTTACGCAAAGACAAGACAATTAGTCTTTTCCTGCTTCCCTCAGTTCTATGACTGTGCAAGCCACGGTCCAATACTGCTTCTTCTCCTGATGGTGAGATCCAAGATCATCAAGTCCAACTGTTAACCTAGCATTTCTAAGTTCACCACTAAACAATGTCCCTATGTGCCACATCTACACATCTTTCAAATACTCCAGGGATGGTGATTCAATCACTTCCAGTCACCACTCCTGGGCAGCCTGTTCTAATGTTTGATAAACACTTTGGTGACAGTTTTTTCCTAATATCTAATTTAAACCCTCCCTGGTGCAACTTGAGGCCTCTTCCTCTTGTCCTATTCCTTGTTATTCAGGAGAAGAGACTGACACCCACCTCGCTACAACCTCCTTTCAAGTAGTTGTAGAGAGCGATAAGGTGTCCCTTGAGCCTCTTTTTCTCCAGGCTAAACAACTCCAGTTCCATGAGCCACTCCTCACAAGACTTGTTCTCTAGACTCTTCACCAGCTTTGTTGCCCTTTAGACATACTCCAGCACCTCAGTGTCTTTCTTGTAGTGACTTGACAAAAACTGAATGCAGCATTTGAGGTGTGGTCTCACCAGTGGTGAGTACAGGGGGATGATCACTTCCCTAGTCCTGCTGGCCACACCATTTCTGATACAAGCCAGTTATTGGCCTTCTTGGCCACCTGGGCACACTTCTGGCTCACATTCAGC